CACCGCACTCTCGTATCGGGGATCTCTTCTCACCTCGATTCTTCTCTCATTGTTGTGGCCGTCAAATAAAACGCGCGCTGCCCGGCTCTCCGTAAACGCGCGAGAATGTCGAAGGAGTCGAAAAGGGGTTGACGAGTGTTTCCCCAGCGAGAGCCGACGAGAGCGGCTCTCTTTCTCTGTTCAGGGCTCTGTGGCACCGCCGCCGCGTCTCTACTTTCCATTCTTCTCTTGTTGTTCCGCTCCCCGGAAGATCAGCGGCGAGCTTATTGCCTCATGAATATGTATGGGAGAGATCGCTCTCAGGGCTGCGATGCCCGGTCGTTAGACGCGCCAGCGACGAACGGCCGCCTCGGCGTGACGAGGGCTGCGGGGAATAACCGCAAACGAGGCACCGGGAAATTAACGAGTCACCGGTCGGCTGAAATTGCACGCGGGAATAAACAGAGGGATTCGCGGGAAACAGGTGGACGAGGGCGGAAAGGCCCGTCAGAAAGAACTAACTACGGACTTGCGTGGCTCTCTTGATTCCCGTGTTGTTTTTTAATGCCGAGTAATCAGTCGAAGAGGTATTTCGATGGAATACGCGCACGCGGACATGCGCAGACACCGGAGGTATTTAACGTCGAGTTACTCGCGATCATATTCAATTAAATTAGTGTGTTGTGTTAATGAGATTACATTATTTCAATGTTACGGTTTTCTTCTGTGAGAATAGACACTTGAAAAACAAAACTGCGCGCGTCTCATTAATGTGTCATTAATGTGAACAGAAATATAACAACAATACTTACTCTAATTTGTGTATAATAATTTGTTCTCTAAACATGTTATTATTATTTGCGAAGTGGCTTTCGCATTTTCTGAGCGATTATTAATTCTATCGATTCTTTGCGCACATACAATAGACGTATAAATGAGATTGATGAACGGAGATACCGGATCGACGTTGTAAGATCGCTGAAGCAGCTACTTCACGTTTATACATAAGGTCGGTAGTAGAGTGCGGAGAAAAGAACGTCGATACCGTCCGTTATCGTTTATTGCTTCGGAAACGAAGTTGAATGCCGCCACTCTCGCTCTGTGTTCTCGGCTATTCTTCCATAGTTTCCTTTAAACTTCCGAATAAGCTTCCAAATAACTTCCGTCAGACGAACTCCGGTCGAGAAAGATGAGATCTTCGCGAAGCTTCGTCGCAGGAATTTTCATTCTCGTCAAGTGGAATCAGGGTTACACTCGGAAATCAGGGATCGATCCCGTCGTTACGGATATATCTTTTTCGCATTGCCCGCACGTCTCGACCCGCTGTATTTCCACTAGCGCGCGTTTCCTCGTAAAATAACATATTTATCATTGCACTTCGGAAGGAACGTTCGGAAAGAATAATTTTTCGGTTTTAGCTTTCTGGTGGTGCGGATTTCTTTATATACACAGCCGCTATTTAAAGATAAATGTGTGAAACAGCAAAACAAGAGAAATAATTAGCGTAAGTAGAAAACGGAAAAAATTCTACGAAGCTATTTATTTATTTATTTATCAATAGAAAGAATAGAGAAAAAGAGAGAGAAATGTAGCTCGAAGAAAAATTTCGACAATGGTCGCTTGTATTATGCACATTTCACGACTACGAAAGACACGCGATGTTGCGGCTATACAAAGTACATAATGCGTATAATCACGAAGCCGTTGAGAAATGGCCCCACCAGCGGGAACATCTGGCGCTTTGAAGCGGAAAACGGACAAATCTTTTCTCATTTTTCTCATCTCCGCCCGGAACGTTGCGCTTTCCATTTAGCGTTTTCTTACCGCGAACATTGCGGATTTTTGAGTTTATTTTCACGCGGGAGAGATAAATATATAGGTATCCCAAGAGATACAAGAATAATTAAGCGAACGAAGCGCAAGAAACCCGTTGACTTGCGCGAGACGAGTTTGCAGCAACTTCTTGGATTTCGTTCGCATTTTTTGTGTCCTACATATTACGCAAAAAGGTCTTTCAACCGGGTACAGGTAATGGAGAACTTTGCGACTCGTTCTTAAGTTCTCGAAAATAAAAAAAAAGAAACAGTAAAATATACGACTAAAAAGTATACGACTAAAAATACACGCGTAAATACGCATGAGTAGATATCTTATATTTTCTTAAACTTATACATATGCGTTTTGTAGACTCTAAAGAAGTCATTAAAATAGATTTAACAAATTGCATATTCTTGAATAATTGCAAGAGCTAAACGTTGCGTTAGATAACAACAAGAGAAAAACATTTTATGTCGTAGAAACATAAGTTTTTAATTAATTATCACGTTTTTTTATTGAGAGACTTTTCAAGAGTGTATGACACTGTGAAAGAAACAAAATCTCTTCTTAAAATTACAAGAATCTGAGAAGAACAATCAATCACACACTCTTGAAAAGTCTATCAATAAAAAAACGTCATAATTAATTAAAAACTTATGTTTCTACGACATAAAATGTTTTTCTCTTGTTGTTATCTAACGCAACGTTTAGCTCTTGCAATTATTCAAGAATATGCAATTTTTTAATCTATTTTAATGACTTCTTTAGAGTCTACAAACCGCATATGTATAAGTTTAAGAAAATATAAGATATCTACTCATGCGTATTTACGCGTAACAAAGTTGTGTATATATATTTTATTTTTGATTATATAATTATTTTCAAGCTTGCTTTTAAATTTAATATAATTCAAGGTTTTGCTTTGCAATGTCATCGCATTCTGTTCGCTGTATGTTTTTTTTTATCACGCCAGCAGCAATTTTTCTGCGAGTAAAGTAGGTCAACGAGTCGGAATTTTTTAAATTTTCTTACATACGAGTACACACACACATTTTCTCTCTTCTTATTTATTTCATTGTAACGATCTTAAAAGCCTTCAATCACACCGTCATAATTCTCGAGTTATCGAGTGGCCGGATGCTCGCGCCCGTGAATGCGCAAGAGGCTGATTTCGCATTTCCCGCACGCGAAACTACTTGGATGACCCGTTCGGAATTTTCAAAATGGTCTGACACCCGGGTTGTTTGCATCTCGTTTGCACCTGGCGGGGAAGAAAGTTTTGGAAAGAAATTCTCGGCGGGGCACCCGCTTCGTTCCAGATCCGGAAGAAGTTTTTTCGATAACTCGAAAATTATGGGTACCCAATGGTCGTTTCTTCACATCTGGCCGCTGGAAACGACGTGTAAAGCCAACTTTCCGTCGAATCGAAGATTCTAGACTAAAGTCAGCCCTTTATATATATGTTTTTGGACGTGCTGTTGAAATCAGGCCGAGGATTATGCATATAAGATGCATATCTATTTATGCGTGTGCATGAAAAAAAAAAAAAAAAAAAAAAATAGAAATCTCTCCCTTGCTTAAAATTACGAATGTGAAGAACAGTTGTGATCATCGTCAAAACTTACAAGACAAATCTATTAAAAGTGCACAGTTTTGTGCACGCACACACATATATTTGTCTTAAAAAATAAGTTTCCATATCAAATAATAAACTGTTGTCAAGAAATTGTTGAGAATTTATCTTCCACATTTGATATATACAATCTTCATGGTTACATACCTGTATTGTACGAAAGGAAAATATACGGTTACAATACACATTGGGGGTATATGTAATCGCAATCCGTTGAAAAATAGCCAAGCAGCAGAAGCACGTGGCGTTCCCCGAGAATCGAAAAGCACGGCTTTCCTTCTACCTTTCTTTTTGATTTCCTCGTCAGCTGGCGCGGAGTATAATAATATTTTTGATTCGAAGGTCGTTACTTTCTTAAATCGCGTGCTTTCCAACATTTTAGATATCTCGAGAAATACGTCATCGACTGCGCAAAATTTTTCGCAGAATAAAATTTTTCAAGAAACTAAAAAGGATTTAAAATGTAGTGTTTATATAATTTTCGCAATTAGACGCGTTTTAAATTTTGCTAAGAGAACAAAATGAGAAATAAACTTTCAAAAACTATAGTTACACTTTTTCATAAAATCTGGTGAAAAGACTTACCTTCAAATAAATATTAAAATTATTAAATCATCTTTAAATGGACTTTTGCCGATAATAAAATTTAAAGAATGAGAGAATGTACAATATCAAAATTCGTTAATAGAGGTTTATTCAACTTCTTTCAGTTTCTGTTATTTCAAATATTTTCACGAAATTTCATGTGAATAAAGCGTTTGGGTGGGTTTTGGAAGTATTTATAGCTACTTCAATAGATATTGAAGTTACTGTAGCTCTCCCGATACCGTGTTCACCGAAGTGGATCTTTGGTGTATCTTTCATTTCGTGTAGTTACAACACAGAAGAGATAACGTGCCCGTTACGCAATTTGTTCTGCCTATGAAAAAAACATGAATCTATAGTAGTAAGTGCGGAACGATGCGCGTAATCACGGCAATGTTGAGAAATGGCCGAGCAGCAGTAGCATCTGCCCCGGACCCGAGGCCCGAGGAGCAGGAGATGCTTTCAACGAGTTTTCTTGTTGATTTCCTCGTTGTATCGCGTGAACAAGAATTATGCTCTCGGCCCGGTGCCGGACCCCGCCGGTACCAGATGCCAGCTCGCGAAGATCGATACACGCCGTTGTTATTGCGTCCGGAAACGGGTATCGTTTATCCGCGAAGAAGTGGGTGTGGGGACCGCTTCCATTTCGAATCTCGAGATTCGAGATTACCGACGTAACGGATCCGAAATAGCAATGTTTTCCATGAAAAAGATAAATTTATCGGTACAAGATATGATTAAGTTTTAAAGGTCATTATTATCGTTAAATGTTGATAACGATAATGCAGACAAAAATTACAAACCAATTACGTAAAAAGTTTACGTAAATTTTACGCAGTTTACAAAAGAGTTTCTTATCAAATAAGTTTACAAGGCAATCGATAAATAAATTATGTATACATGTATATTGGTTCTCATTAATTATTTACTTTACGCTTAAGAAACAATTGGACTTTGAGTGATAGCGAAACCGCCGATCCTACGCGAGACAGTCGAACAGCAGACACGACAACAAAACACGTTTCCGACTCAGCAAAAGTGAAAATTCTGTCAAAGTGTATAATAGTGTTAGTATTACTAAAAGTGTATTCTGTGACGTATGTAATGTACTCAGTTTTCCTCACAGACAGGAAACTGCTTACATTATTCTTTGATGTTATCCTATTCAAGTCAGGTTTGCTTGTATTGTATAATAATGTCTCTCAAAACAATTTTGACAATCATAAATTGAGACACTCGCGTTGTATATTTTGACAATAAGATCTCCTTTTTAAGGAACGGAATAGGTCTCGGGAAGTCGTCCGCCGGAATCTCCGGGATTTCGAAATATCCCGATATTCCGCCCGACGTCTCCGCGGAAGAGATTGGTTCGCAAGAGACGGTACGCAGAAGCCAATGTGATTGCACTGTGGATACGAGGGGAATTGTGTGCGCGGCAGGTCACGTCGTGCTTCACTTAAAACAAATAAAGGCCGCGGCAAAACCGTAGGACGGAAGCAGTAGGTAAAACGGATAAACCTAAACCTAAACCCAAGGATCTCTTGTCCTTTCCTGTGATGCGTCCGGCCTTTACGTGTACCAACATTCGGGACGTACTTGCAACGAAAAATGGTCACGGTGTTTCCGCGAAATCTTGTTTTTATTTAGAGAGTTGTTGAATACACAAAAATTGTAATTACTCTTTGTGGCGGTTTCTTATCTGTAACATCTTTTAATGATGAAAGAAATAACAAGATTTATCAGAATGATGATAATAAGCTGCGCTTATTTAAAAAAACAACTTGCTTTAATTTTTTCATCTCAATTATAAATCATAGCACAGAAAATATCTTACAATGAATGAATGAATTTGTTGTTTTTCAAATTTAGATTTATGTCGCATTTTGCCGAATAATTTAATTACTCGCGAATCCTGCACTTGCGCGATTAATAAAAAAATGTTTGCTTAACTGCGCAATACGTCCGATAACCCTACTCCGTATATGAGTCATTGAATGTCAATTTAGACACATGTCTGATACAGTCTGCACGTAGTGAGGCGTTGGCAGTGAGAGAAACGTGTTTGAATACGTTAGTTTGATTTATTGCACTGACCACTAGTAACACATATTGACAATACCGCAAAGGTCAAAGTCGTCATATTGTGGTGTTTTACAGCGCGTAAGTTAGTTTTTGTATTTTCAACGAGAATAAGTAAGTACAAACAAAAAAACCACACAAGTAAGCGCGGTTTAACGTTGATATTGTTATAATAGAAATGTCATTTCTACAAATTTACGGCCGAGTTTAACGTTACCATACAGCTGTAGACGTTCATGATTGCGTTTTTTATGCGCCTGAAATTATTTTCGGCTCGGTAGTTATTAGTGGCATGTCAACTGCGAGCTACGTCGTACTTGCAGACAGGCAATTATGGATCGTTGGCTTGGTAAAACCGCAGTCGTTACCGGTGCTGCAGCCGGGATCGGCAAAGCAATTACACGTGCTCTTCTGCGAAACGGAGTGAACGTGGTTGCTCTGGATGTCCAGAAAGAAGGATTGGCAAAACTCGATGCGGAAAGTAAGTCGGAAGGTTTTCCAAGCACGTTACATACCATATGCTGCGATATAACTCGCGAGGATGACATCAATGCAGCATTCGCGACAATCGAGGCCTTGGGCGGTGTTGACATCATGGTCAACAATGCCGGAGTCACTTCTAGTACACGCATAATTGGTACGAATATTTAAGCTTAAACCGGAAAATCTTTATTTAGTTAAAATTAATTTTATAAAATTAATTTTTTTTAATGTTTGTCACAGTTTGAGTATTCATATATTTATTTATTTGTTACATTTTGATTGTCTTTCTAATGAGCGTATGATAACTTTACTGTTCTGCAATAATTTGCTTGAACATGTATATACACAATTGCGCAACGTATATACTTTATTTTAAAATTATGCAACAAATGTCTGTTTGAAATTAACGAAATAGCAAATTAATTTTGTATTTATGCAAATTGCTATATTATAGTTTAATATTTTGTAAAAAACAGATTTAACATATGTACGTGTATATATTGTATTTATATATGTATAAGTGGAAAGTATGCATTTATACGAAGTATAGTTAGCGCATTTGCAGAATTTGGGAGTTAGTTGAAAGTTTCCTTTCTCGTTTAAGGATCGAGTTTCAAAGTGTTATTTAACCCCTTCCCGTGCCATTTAGCTCGACGAAACTCGGGCCCAAGCGGTAGGCATTGACGCGCGCTAAACAGACCAGACTGATGCTGTTCTGACTGACTGTTCTGAGGTACTGAGAGGAACTAACATTCAGTCACGAGCGTAACGGGCAAAAAATCAGTCCGCGAGCTCGGCTTGTTATGTTTACGTTTGGCCCAAGTATGTGTTCGCGACTCAGACTCGCGATATTTATGTTTGGCCCAAGTAACTGTTCGCGAGTCAGACTCNCGATGTTTATGTTTGGCCCAAGTAACTGTTCGCGAGTCAGACTCGCGATATTCATGTTTGGGCAAAAATCTTCATCGCGAGTCTGACTCGCTAAAGTACGGGAAGGGGTTAAGATCGGTAAAAAAACGCAGCGGCCTCTTGCGCTGCGGAGAATGCTATCGCTTAAAAAAAAAAGCGAGGCCCTTGCTTTCACACGCTGCGTAATACAGTTTCACGATGGCGAGCAGGCTTTTTCACTGACAGTACAACAGTGGAAGCGCTCTCTCGCGCGCGCGTTGTGTGTGTTGAGGCACATTTTAAAAAATTCCATAAATTACACTTGCAGAGAGCGACAGAAAGACATTTGAGAGACTGTTAAATATTAATGTACTCGCAGTCGCTGTGTTCACCAACAAGGCGGTGCGCTCGATGCGCCACCGAAATGTCGAAGGACATATTTTCAATGTCAATAGGTATCGTAACTCAATAATTCGTTGCTGCGACGTTGCTTCAAAAATATTCTCTCGAGCTCCGCGAGAATTTTTCGATTCACTTACTGCGCATTACATAATAACAAACAAATTTGATTTTGCAGTATTTTGGGTCATCAAAGTCTGGATTCGTCATTTTTTTCAAATGGTCTCCACTTTAATTTATATTCCGCTTCTAAGCACGCAAGTGTTGCTTTGACCGATACGGTGCGACGAGAGATATCGGTCCTCAATCTTCCCATTCGAATTACCGTGCGTATATTTAATTAATAAATTAAATTAAATTTACAAAAGACATTATTCAATTGTGTAATGTAAAAAGAGAAACTTTATTTAGTGCTCTGTTTTTTTTTTTTCATTACACGCATCAGTATAACATGATTTTGCTCACACGATCTTTACAGAGCGTTTGTCCTGGTGTTGTAAAACCGACGGGAATGATGTACGACAGTCTCGTTGGAAGTAAATTTTTAGAAAACTGCCCGGCTATTCAGCCAGAAGACATAGCGGATGCAGTTATCTATGCCCTCGGAAGGCGACCGCAAGTTCAGGTTCAAATTATTAAATATTTAACGTACTCGCCCGACAATAAGCGCGGACATTTATTTTACTTGTTGCCTAATTCCAGATTACAGAGATCAAACTTCAGCATACCGGAGAATTTGTATGAGTATGTCTATTGAGACAGCCATTTTAAAATATAAACAAATAAAAAGGTGAAGGTTACAGAAACAGTAAGGGCAGAATGAACGGTGCTACTCACACGCGCAAGAAAATTTAAAGGCACCCTGAGTGAGTTACACGTTTAAATATTATGTATTTTGTTCAATAAAAAAACTGCATGCACAATCGAAAATGTGTGAAATTCTTCCCGCTCGGACCAATTTTCTATAAGCAGCGGATACAGAGTTCAATTAATTTATTATTTTTTTATTTTTTGTTTCTTTTTTATACATAATACAACTGAGTTATTTGTTAAATATAATTACGAGAAAAACATTTGTGCTCTCGACAAAATATCGCTGAGTTTTTTTAAATCGTATTTTAATTTCATATATCTCTGTGGAAAGATACAAAATTGAAACACGTTATATAAAGTTATATAAAGTCCGCTTATCGCAATTTATCGTTATCGGCGATACACACGACCATGTAATAGCTCTATTTGAATTTCGACGAAGTGGTTGCTGTACACAACCGGCTACATTCTGCTTGACGCATGACAAATGCTGCATTTGGCATTTACACCTATTTTCCACGCACATCTTTGCACGTGCGTGTGCGTGCTTCTAAACACGAACTTCCGACGACGACAGCGGCTCGCATTATATTGAGCTCGACTGTCAACCGGGGAGGCATTCGAACGAGCGATAGTTAAGGTGTCAAACAAGTTCCGTCGTACGCGCTCCGACCAGTTTGGGAGAGGAGGAGTACGCGTCGTGTTATCGGCTGCATGAGGAAAATTGATTCTCCCTGCACGCGCGCAATGGGTGTTTCTATCAAAATCTGCGTATACGCTTCAAATTCGTATAATAAGAGAGGTTACATTCAGTAGAATGTAAATTTCGAAAATGTTTAGCGATTTGTGTGTTAGACATTATGTTTGAAGAAATTAGTTGTAAACACAAATTTATTTGTCGACGTTTGTCAAAACTAGAGTGTGTCCGCATACATCTGAAAAATAATTGTTTGAAATACAATTTAACTGGATATTTAAAATTTCTGTAAAAAAGATATACACTGTAGATGAGATATTGTTGCGCATTTACACTCGAATTGATCCTCAACGGCCTTATTTTTGTTAAGTTTGTCTAAGTAATTAATTATTTCTCTTTACATCGGCTAATATTATATTATTTCTACATCGAAACAACGAGCGAGCTGCTTAAGTTGCAATAGCCGAGCACACTTTTGCCTTACTTGCTGCAGTACACAATTAATAACGCGAAGCCATGCAAAGAATCCGCCGCTTTTATTCTTCACTTTTAGTTGCTCTTAGTCGTTACATTAAGAAAAGGCGGAAGAAGATGGGGAAGGAGTAAAAAAGGAGGGTGCAAAACGCGGAAGGGCAGCAGCGGAACGATGATCGATAAAGACTTACTCGGCTCTTCATGGGGGCCGTCTGTATGGACGGAGAGCCGGCATTTAGGAATTTATATTAAAATATGTAAATCTATCGGCGCGGGCATATTTGAAAACAGATAAATTATGCCGGCCGTGTATTGCGTTCCCGCGGTAAAATATCGACAGCGCGATGGGAAGGGGTTGAGACCGACGGCGGAAGCGGAGTTCCTCGCATAACGGCACGTTCTGTCGACCAGCAGAAATGCGATTTATGACGATCATTGTGTAACGATCATAAATTATCTCGTTATTTACGCGGAACGCTTACACAGCCCGGCAACGCGCCGCGGCAACTCTGCGTTATTGTTTTTCCGCGCTCTCTTTCGCATCTTCCTCAAATAGTAACACCTGATGCTTCCAAATTCTGATATTTCGCTCGGTCAGTTTGCATTTTGCACGCGATGAATTTATTCCCCGTACAAGTCGGCATTGTCAAATATTTGTCCGTAAAATCGAGGTGCTAATAATTCGAGATTGCGCGAGATATCACATAGATTTATTTTAATTAGCAACATAGAGAGATCCGAAAGAATCGCTTCGCAAATTTGATTCACGTCTTTGCGCGTATTGAAATTAACAAACTGTTATTTATTTGAGGGAAGACGCGCTTAGCGAATTTCTGAATTCACAAGGATGAAGGACCAGATGTTCAGGAGAACTAACGTCTCGATTTAACTTCCTTAAATGCGTTCGTAACTGGTTCTGACAGGGAGCGCACTCACCTTCTCTTCCCTACCTACCTACTAACACGTATGCTAACAGTTGTTTGACCGTGTTTCTCTCTATCTCTCTCTATTTCTCTCTTTCTCTCTCTCTCTGCGCGTTTGCATTTGAATAACTCTCAGAAACTACACTTGAAAGCACATCTTCCGCGAGTTCTAGGCAATTGATGAATGTATGTGTACTCACGATTCTAAACCGTGTTATTTTTTCTCAATTTACGATACAAACAATCGCTAAAGATCAAAGCAAGTTTGGAAAAAAATTGAAAAGTATTTTCGAAGGACAGGGCGAATTCGAGGAGTCGCGATTGAAAGCTCGAGAAACGATCTCGCTAGTGGAAGTTCGGGCGACGTTTTATTATTTGTCAAAGGATGAGCACGTGATGAAGCGAGGCCATGGCGCGCAGCTGGATACGGCGACAACGAGGAGACATTTTCGGGTTGCTAAGGGTTCGCGAGACGGGGTTCGGGGTGGCTGGATGGGTTCGTTAGTGGAACACTGGCAGTGCAAACATGCCCGCTTAAACCAGCTGCGTACGTGCGCCAATGCGGTGTCAGATTTGAAGTGGTTCGCGGTGACGGCGTGCACGTGACGTGTCGGAACGAAACGCGGGGCGCCACGCAGCGAGAGAGCTTACGACGACGATGACGACGACGAAGAGGACGATCGCGCGGATATTCGAGCGGACCGGACTGAATATCGAACGAGCTCGTCTGTTGACTTATTAAAGACCGACTGTGGATAGAGGAAAAAAATTGGAGCGAAGGTGGAAAATTTGATTCTCGGGATTTCGGCCGATTTTCGTGTTCATCGCGCCGACGTAGTGGTGACCCCAATTATTCCGCCGCGAATGAAAGCCATTTTCCCGGAGTAACTATGTTGTGCGGTTCCGAGCGTATTCTGGGGCATATATTCCTGATAGAAGAGAAGCAGAGAGAGAGAGAATTCTCGCGTGTCGGTGTCACTGGTTCAAGGTTTTTAAGAGCGGATGTTGAATCAATCTCATCGTTGGGAAAATCTAGCAAACTGTATTAAAAAAAAAAAAAAAAAGAACGAATTGGGTTTTTGCAGATTGAGTAATTACACGTATTGCAGTAAAAAAAAAATTAGATACACTCACCGTGTCTTTTAATTATGTGTTTTTACAAAGAGATCCTTTTTTGCGCGAGCGAAGATACGAAGCGTTTTAATATGGCGTGTAGATGACGAAGCGTCGCAGCTGCAGGTGGCCACACGGCGCGTATTCTGCTCATAAGCACACAACCGGCTTAAGTAATACCGCGTGCGTTATCTCGTCGGTCGTTTCGCCATTCTCTCGGAATCTTCGCGCGCGACCGTTCCTTCCTTCCTTACTGCCTAACCCCTTCTCACTTAATCCGCAGTTGCGAAACTGCGAAGCGGAGAAGTTGCGGAATAGTTTGCTCTCTCGCTCGACGAGTATGAATTTAATCGCGCCTTGCAGCTTCCGCTTGTCGCGTCGAATTCGACACCGTTTGCGCGTGTAACGACGTGCTGGAGGCGCGAGAAGTCGGCGGGGTTGTATGTAGTTTGCGTGTGTATAATAAAACAGATAATAAGTCCGCGTGAGAAGAAAAATCACCGGAGATTGCAACTCGTCCGCAAAACTTCGATTTTCCGCCCCGTGTTACAACGGAGGGCGTATCTCTCGCGAATGAAAATTACAGCGCGGCTCTCTCGTGCCGAGCTTGCGCGCGCGCGCGCGCGAATCTTTCGTCTCTCCCGCTATAAATCCGGTCGTTCCATCCGTTTGCATCCCGGCGACATTCATGAGGGAAAAAGATGCGCATAATGTTATCAACGCATTCCCGACATGGCCGCGCATAGTTTAATCCACTGCGACGCTGATCCCCCAGCGGTACAGCGATGAATTCCGTCCTCGCCGTTGCGAGTAATATCGGGCGAGGTTAAAACGAGAGAGTCTGAAGGATCATTTGAATAATGTAGATAAGTTTACCTCGCTCGCGGAAAATACAGAAACAAGAAAGATCGCGATTTCTCTTGCGAGAGAGAACGTGCGTTTTAGTCCGGTTCAGGAAATATGCGAGGCTGCTTCGCCAATCTGACGAAACACCGAAGAGAAGATTTGCGCGCGTATACGAGGGAAACTTGTTTTAAGTAAAAAAAAAAAAAATAAATAAAACTAACGAAATGTAATAATCCTTTGCACTCTCATTTTTTTTTTTTTTTTTTTACTTGAAACAGGAAAAGAAATATTTCAAGAAACATCGTTTGACTCGATTTGGATTTCGCGTAATCGTAAAACTGTGCTCAATCGCGCTTACGTGGAAAGACAAGGAGAACAGATAAACATCGCTGCATGGAAAAGACAAGACTCGTACAAAATATAGTATATTGCCACATATAAGAATAGTAATCACATCGCGAGATTATAAAGCGGGGTTCTGTTTCGCAATTGAATAGGGACAAAGCGAACGCGCATAATTTCACGTGTGTACCTTGTCCTTTGGCGGCGATAACGCGCCATCAGGATGTTTAAACGAACGGGATTATTGCCGCCAGGCAATCGTTATTGCCGCAAACGACTCGCCCCCGACTGCCACTTACTTCATATTCAGCCGTTCGCTCACGTAGGTGGACGACGAGAGCCCGAGATGACGTCGTTAACGACTCGCGCGAGAGCGCGTCGCTTCTCCATAGGGTGCGCTTAACTCCTGCGGCCGAGGGAGAATCGTCGGGATTGCAGTTACGACGAGCGTCTGCATGGCGTAACGACAGCGCGCTCGTGATTTAAACGGTATATCAAGTTGCCGGTTGCGCGCGGCGGCGGCGGCGGCGGCAGCGGCGACGGCGCGTGTGTCGGGGGCATTATCGTCATTGCGGCCATTATCGCGAAACGATGGCGTTCATCCCGCTCCTTCCCACGTTTTCACGTGCCGAGTCGCCATGAGGCCTCAAACCGGTCGCGATAATCAAGTTATATCCCGAGCGAATCGTGACATAAACGCTACCCTGGCCCCTTCC